ATACAATCCTGCACATAATAAACTTAATAGGATACTTTTGAATTTTGTAGCAGCTTGACCTCAGTACAGCCATGTTAAAAAAAAAAAAAAAAAAAAAAAGGGGGAGCACACATCAGCAGGGTTACATCTGTGATGTGCTGACCTGGGCATAGTTACAGCCACATACTATGCAAGACACTACAGAACCTCAAACAGCAGATGTTATGTATTTGTTACTTGCCATTTAGTCATGTAGTAATCATTTATGTAATAGCAACCAACTAGCTTCCTTGGCTAACTTGCTAATTCAGTATGGTAGAAATTTCTTTACTTGTAACATTGGCTACATTCTTGTCAGGGTCGGAGCATGAAGCTGCCGATAATGTCGTGGGTGAACTCAATTAAGTAGCCAGACGAGGATAAGTAAAGAAACACCGTCTCTTTAATAAGAGCACTGACAACGAACAAAAATGATACAAGACACGGTTTAACCACAAAACGCACTTACAGGTCGATACAGTCCAGGGTCAGAACCAGCAAACACATACCAAGGAATCCAAAACGCACTGTCCAAAAGGGAAGTCCGATAAGCCAATATATAGAGAAGCAGTCCAAGTTAGAAGGGCAAGGCAATACGTACACGGTGGTCAAAAACACGTACACGGTGGTCAAAAACACGTACACGGTGGTCAAAAACACGTACACGGTGGTACGGTGGTCAAAAACAACACGGTGGTCAAAAACACGTACACGGTGGTCAAAAACACGTACACGGTGGTCAAAAACAGCAACCCAGGGTCAAAAACTAGAAAGTCAGGCAAGAATTAACGCTGGAGAGTCAGAGCTGGAGTCTAGAACAATCTAGCAGGTTACTGGTGGGAGAAGGCTGCTTATAATGGGGTGAAAACAGGTGTGATCAATGAGAGCAGGTGAAACTAATGTGAGTGATGATTGAAGTAAAAAGTCTGAAACTGTGGTGAAACAAAAACAGGAAGTAATGTCAAAATAAAAGCACGGCAGGAAGCAAAAGGAACTGAATCATGACAATTCTGTGAACTTCTCTCCAACAAAGTTATAGCCTCCTTCATATAGTATTTTCTTTGTAGAGGCTAACCTTATCGATGGCTGTAACTACCATCCTGAATTAACAGTCAGCTGTTTGATTAGCTTGGTGATGCTGCCAGCCACACAAACCTTCCTCCAAACACTGACTGTTAATTGACAGGTCGTTCCTGCTGCCAACTCACATTAAATTTTTTAGATCAAGTCACCTCTCTCTTATTTTTCAGTGCATACTCACCATTGTTTTGACATTCATTATGACATGTAGCCTTTTTACATTCATTTGACTTAGGTTCTCTGCAAAAACACATGGGCACTGCGCTTAAGTCTGTGGACCTTGCCAATAGCATGAGATGTTCACAAAAAAGGTTGGTGAATAGCAAATGCTCACTATTTTCAAGGTAACATTTTTAAAATATTTTTAGGCCCCAATGTTATTCAATTAATTATTATTTCAGTAGTAGCATTAGTATTATTCATTCCAGTGCGTGTCAGTGTTTGCCTCAGATCTAGTTTTGTCTCAACATAATTTTCAGCCGTCTTCCCTTTCGGTTTGTCTCAATAATGATTTAGGCAATTCAGTGACTACAGCCTCTTCTTCTTTTTGGTCAGCACATGTCAATCTTCAATCTCATGTTTTTGTCCCTATTTAATATGCCTTTTCTACACAATGCACTGAGCGAGCTAATGTTCTTTCCACCAAGACACTGTTCATTTCTGCACCCTAGGTACAGAGTAGATTATGGGCAGATGATTATTAACATTTCCTTCCTGTCTCAAATTTGTTCAGGCAATAAAGCTCCTCACTGTATCCCAAGTCAGTAAAACTAGCATTAGCTAACTTTATACTGTAACATGGCTATCATATTTCCATCTGAAAATGTAGAAACTATGACATTTAATGAATAGCAAATGGGTTGCCATGCCACGACAGTATATCATGTAGCTTACAAATGCATATGTGTCTAATTCATATCAACACTGCCCACATCTTTCTAATAGCTCCCTAACGCATGTGCTTTGTCATAAGCAAGTTGAATTACAAGCAGCGTTATCACAAACCAATGCTTCAAAGAAACACCTTTTTAAAGAATACATGCCAGGTTTGAAAAAAAAAAACACCAGAGAACTAAATGTTACAGCTGCTTAATGGATCATGTCTGGTGAACTGAAGGGTGGAAGGGTCACACCTATCACTAGTCATGGAAAAAAAGGAAACACATTAAATTACCGGATATTAACATGGAGTTTGGTGTCATATTCTTCCCAGGCTGTACAAGACAGAACAACACTTATCCTGGCTTATCTCATGGATGACTATTACATGATGTTGTTCAAAGGAGGTTACACAAGATGGTTACCATGGCATTTGCACTGGTCTTTCTCTCTAACTTTACTCTGTTCACAGATAATGGGTCAGGTCAAGGTATCCTGCTTTTCTCCTCCTTAGTTGTGACGTGACTAAGCACTGGGTCATTTTAACCTCACTTTTCTCTGACTCAACATCTTCACTCAGGAAGTGATGTCTCCACACCTCTGTTTCGGCAGCTACATTGTTAACCTGGGATACAATAAATATCTTATGCAATGATGCCATAGCTTGGTGAGAAACTATGTTGGCCATATGGTGAGAGGATGTATGGATAGTAACAGTTGCCATGCCTCCAAGCTGGTCAAATATAAGGAACTATGGGATGGCTTATCATGCTGTTTTGCATTGTTGGATATGGTGCAAAACAGCATAATAAACATGACATGGTAGTGTTAAAAAATCTAAAACGTCATAAGGGACATCTCAAGCTTATGTGTTTTTGATTCATGAATGTGTAGCTTCCCTGACAACTAGTCTGTGGGAACAGGTGTCACACAGCAGTGTCACTGTATGTACAGGTTATGTCCAATTGCTCTCAGTCCCACAGAGATCACAGATTTTGAAGAATGTTCTTGATACATCTCAGAGGGCTAAGGGCAGTCTTAAGATAAGTACATGAGGGCTCTTTTTTGGACTCTGGGCCCTTGATATACACTTTCTGTCAGTGGAAGTGTACAATCCTGCAGACTCTCCTTAAGTGACCGACCTACAATTCATAGTGTGACATAAAAAACAGGAATGATAGGGCAACCCCAGAAGCACCCAGGAAAAACCATAAAAGAAATTGGCACTTAATATTTCTGTTTGGAGCCCTTGTACCCTGCATATTTATGCACATGCTGCACAAGTGACATCAATTAAATTCTGAGGAGCTCAATGGCTAAAAAATGGGCACTGTGGTGTATGTATTATACTCCATACTACAGTGACTTCATCAGTGAACCCACAAAGATATCTGCAGCGTTCTCTCTGTGAGGTACCTCGACCAGCTTCTTTACAGTAACTTATGTTGCATAAATGTCATGAAACACATCTACAGTATACAGTGACCTTCAGGACAAAGAGTTAAAATAAAGCTTGTTTTTTACATATACTATAACTATAATAAAGCCCTGGCTTTATTGGCCCTTTACTGTGGTTTTGTGGATACAGTAATCTGGGAATGGCAGCAATCACAGGGTCTGTTATTAGAGCTTAAAACTAGCTGGCAAAACAGTTTTAGCAGTTAAAATTCATGCATTAATTGCTGTTTGGATGACAACAGTAGGTGTATGATGTGTATGACTGCATCTTTTGGTATAGCAAAGGATTATGCTTTAATATAATTATCCATTAGATCTTCCAGGTCCACATGCTATTGAATACAAAAAATGCAATGGCCACAATAATGGAGCACAGACTAACAGATGTCAGAAACAAAAAAACCTTAAATAATTTTTTTTTTAGAAAAAATAAATTGTAACACTTTTAAATGTTTCTGGGCTCCAGTCTTTGCTCTATTTACCATATATTTTCTCTTATATGCAATGGCAAAATTTGAATTAGATATGCACTGAATTAGGTAAATGTATGGCATATATAATGTCCATGCAAGTGTCCCATGTCTTTTTTCATGCCCTATTATGTTTGAGTAAGTGTCCAAATGCCAGTAACCAGGTTGACGCGAAACCGGCCTATGAAAGCAATCACAGCTATTCCAACAAGTATGTGAACGGGAGCAATATTAAATTCTGCAAAAGTCTACAAAACCACTATATTGGTTTTCTGATGGATTTTAAATGTCACTCTTCCACCTCTGTAGCTACAGGCATTTGTGAAAAAACACATTTACTCCATAAAAATGAAAATATACCATTTCTCATCCATGACCTGTCAGAACAGAGGTCCTGTTGTCTGCCATTAACTGAGCACATGCCCCAACCACCACTGAATATTAATGGAGCCTTCCCTGGATCATCAAAGTCTGTGCATTTTATTCACAATCCTATCTGCATCTCTAAAAGCACAGGTTTTGTGTGTGTGTGTGTGTGTTTGTGAGAGTATGTGTGTCTCAGAGCTGTTGTGGTTTCTTTATTACAGAGGACATCTTCTAGGCCTATCATACGTTCTGGTTGAGATTGGTTACTTTACAGCATAGCAGCAGGTGTGTCATTAATACATGTAATAAAACGCATTATTAAACTGCACTGGGGCTCCACTAACAGGAGCAGCCACTATGGCTGACAGCAGCTATACATGATTCCATTTAAATCACATGAACATCGTCTGGTTAGCAGCATGGTTCAAATGACAGAAGGGTGATGACGAATGCACAAAGTAGACAGATCATGTTAAAATGTGACAGCTTATCAACAGGCAAGGACAATCGAAGGCTCCCACTAAAAGGAAGAAAATGTATTCTACAGCAACAAAGTGGTAGGAGGATTTACATTTCAATCTCGTTGCCCAATTCTGACAGTGCGTCAAGATGGATAACGTGTGCAGTATGCGAAGTCACCAAAGCGTATGGATTGCGCACACATAAAACCCATGACAGACAGAAAATCTCTAGTCACGTTTAGGAGGTGGTAGTGAACATATGGCTTACCTAAAAGACTCGATGCAAGCCCCGGAATTACAATGATGACGGTGATGATGGCTCCTCCATCTGAACACGATTCTTCTTTTCTACTCCCTGGCGGTGTGTTGATGATGTTTTAACTAGGCCATTTCTTCCCTGGTCGTAATTATTTCTCAGGAGGGTAACGCGTCGCAGGCTTCCGCACATCAGTACACCTTTCCGGTGTCCGTCTTTCTCCGGCTTTTCCAAAAAAAGAGCACACCTCATACTGCTCCCCTCCTCCTCCTCTTATCCCTCTCTGACAACACCCTGCTCTGTTCTTTATCCACAGATATTGTCTTTTATAGTGCTGAGATGCAGCAGAGAGTATATTTCAAACTGGGAAGAACATAAGCACTCACGGTAAAAATGAATGCGTAACGCTAACGCGTCAAGACTGCGCGTTGCTTCAAAAGTGAACGCAGTGATCTGTCCTCTTTCCCCCATTTGTTCATGCTGAGAATAATCCACGGTATCTTGCCCCGCTGTACTGCAAGGGCCTTCAAAAACACGAACCCTTCGACTTAAAAATGTGAAATAGCGCTCTAAAGACAGGTGCCCAATCTCTGCGCGCTTGCGTGGTGCGCTCACTTGGTTTCACTTGCTCTTGGCAAAAAAATAGAGGCTCGGTGCGAGGGACAGCGCGGGGATCTTCCGCTTAGGCTTCATGGTTTCAAAGCAGTAGCCACCATAAATGCTTTCAGGATTAGGATGTACCGCTGTTATGTTGAAGTCCACCTCGTTCTCTCACTCCTTCAGTGCGGTCTCATCGACTCTCTTTCTCAGGACACCACTTGCAATCTCGCAGTCATAGAGCTAGTTGTCATGAGGAGAAAGCGCGACACATAATTCAATGGACATGCCTCGTTCAGCTAAACCTGCGTTTTAAAACTGAGGTTAGGGATTTGCTTTGGGTTGCTTTTATTGTTTTAGGCGATGATCTGCACCAGGCTGACGTGAGATATTTTCATTCTTTCTTTCTTTTGTATTTATTTATATATTTATTGAGTTTTTGGCGGCGGGCATCGGTGCATTTCACGTTTAAATATAAGAATATTTAGACTAAGATACCGTTAGGCCTACTACAAACAATATTTATTATTGTTGTTGTTGGCCCATAGCTCTCTACAACGTCCTATTATATATCTGTTTATTTCAGGTAGGTTCCTGGAAAATACTTGTTATACTTTTAGGAAAAATCTAGATTGCCGCGTTGGTGCATGTTCACTTAGAACTTGCATTACTTGAGTTGGCCACTCGGGAGCGGCAAAACACAAGCTGGAAATATTGTTCAACACTGACCCAGCACACTCAGTTTCAGAGTTGTGAGTGCTTGTGTCCACCTGATTAATCTAAGTCTGAGAATTAGGCCTACTCTCCATTAAGCTCTATTTTGTTCGCCACCATGAGGGACTATTCCAATTAACTGCAGACGTAACCATTTAGTCACTGGACAGCTGAATGTGTTTGCGTAATTTATCAAATTACATGATGGTAAATCACTGATTTACCATAATAAGTGCAATAGTTTACTGTTTAAAAAAAGCTTTTTCTTGTGATCGATTGAATAATTTATCAGTTTCAATTATTTCTATTCATTTTTAAATTTTAAACAAGAGAAGACACATGACAAGTGACACAAGCAGTCCCATATTTACTAATGTCTGAGAGAGCCAGACTGACCATGGTAATGTATGTGGGCTTTTGGAGACTGCGCTCCAAAGCAAACGCCATCACCAGCAGGACATTTCCCACCACTGTGGTCACATAGAGAACGAAGAAGAACCACGCCACTAGGTGAAAATACTCTGACTGGAGACTTGGGAAACCCACAATAACAAACTCTGACACACGTGTGTAGTTTTCCACCTGAAACATTCTGAAGGCAGAGTAAGGCAGGTAACATAACCAGGACAGAGGGTGGTATCGACTGAGCAGACACCTATGTGCTTATCAGTGCTTAACTCCCCAGTGGTCTTGATGTTGGAACAAACACAAGCAAAAGTCTCTCAGGTTTATGAAATATTTTTGACACACAAGAAGATTAAAGTAAAGAAAGTGACTTTCAGCTTTTCCCATTTAGGGGTCACCACAGTGAATTGTCTAACTCACGACTTGCATGTTGACATTTGTTTGACACTGGATGCCCTTCCTGACGCAACCCTGAGTTGAACCTGGGCTGCAGTGGGGAGAGCGCTGTGCCTTAACCACTAGCCTACCAGGGATGGCTCACAAGAAGATTAAAGTACACTGACACAATTCTGGCCCAATGGAGGCAAAAACACACACACACACACAGGTTGTCCAAGTAGCCTTTCCTCAACAGTTGTATCATTGCAAGGTGTTTAAGTGTTTAAACTAAATCCCATGATTTTCTGGCCTGGATTATGTTTATATTTAGTATAATGTGGGCACAATAGACTGTATGACAGGTGACTATAAACTAGAGAAGATAAACTACAACTGTATGCTGGTATTGTTAAAAATATCAAGGATGTCCTATTATACTGTAAAATGCAAGGATGTATAAAATCTACACAGTCTAGATTAAATCTAAGTTCAATATCATCCAAAGCAGCACCTCCAGGCAGAGGTGTAGTTGTGAGTTAATAGTGATTCTGAGACTTTGGACAGACAGAACAGCGTGGAGCAGTTGTTATTAAAGTCACTTATGTCACCACCTTTATGCAATGGAAGCACCTGACTGAAGTGAACTGACCAGAGGTAAAAGTTGAATTAATTATGCATAGGAGTGGAGCAGTAATAACAGGAGCACTTAGGCAAAGGATCTGTGGGTCAAAATTACCCACACAGGAGACTTTGTTATGCTTAGACTTACTTAAATACCTTTGAATATGGGACAGGTTTAAGCGAAAATTTGATATTTGTGAGGTGAGAACTGGAGGAAGGACTGAGTGATGCTGGAATGTTATTTTTGTCCAGTGTAAGGATGAGTTAACAAATATGTCACATATTGTAATAAAATTATTATTAAAAGCTACAGTCATCCTGTTTGTATCAGTAATGTTGGGGTACAATATATCATCAGTGACATTTAGGTATAATGCTCATCTAAATTTATAAACATCCATAAAACTGACGTTTTATGTGTGTGATGCTAAGGTCTGACTACAACAAATTAATAGGACTGGCAGGGTGGACATATATGAAGAGCCACTTTCCATAACATTACATGTTTTTTTACTCATGCTTAGATAAACATGCATAAACAATAATATAATTCCAGGGATAACATCCACCAAACATGAGAGAGTCAACAGAGTAAGATGTAACTTTCTCGTCCAGTCCGTCAACTATTACTGACTGTAGTATTGACAATGCTGCCATCTTCTGGCAAAATAACTGTTTTATATTGTTGTAACAGCCAGCGTTCTACTGTAAATGCACACAGTAGAAAATGGTTGGGATCAAATCTTCCACCACCATCTTACATTAGGTGGAAGATTGTGTCTGAGGCTTTTAATTGATTATCTACATTTAAAAACTGATGTAATTACATATCTTTATCCTTTTACGTTTTTCCCTCAAGAACACTGAAAGGGAGGAAATCTGTGATGCTGCTTATTTAATACATCAACATTTTCTGTGATCTTTATTGAGCTTTGCAGTCATGCTGTGTCTGCTTCAGCTGTAACTGGATAGTCAGTTTCTCTCGGTGGTCTATTTTATAACAACAATAATTTTAGCTACAATTAAGCATGTCACTCAATTCATTGCACTTCAATTATAATTGTCATTGTCTGAGTTACCTTTTTTAAGAAGTGTTTTGAAGTACGCTTTCAGCTTATTGTGACTGTATATAACATATTTACAGTTTGCAACTATATAGGACATATAGAGAATCATGTATTTGTTATTACATTTGTTGCCATTTTAATCACAAGGAACAGTCTAGCTAGTCTGAAACTTGATGAAAAGAGGGACATATTTTTAAAAGGATATACAGACTTGGTTTCCTTCTAAAATAATATTGTTGTTTATTTAACCTATTTTCATCTGTATTACAATACAGTATCAAAAATATATACTCAAAAAATACTTTATGTTCATCAAAACAACAATATCATGGTCACTTGTCGGGCAACAGTGGTTCAGTGGGTAGAGCAGTCGTCTCCCAACCGGAGGATTGGCGATTCGAGTCTCGGTGCCTGCAGTCCACGTGTCAAAGTGTCCTTGGGCAAGACGCTGAACTCCCAAGTTGCCCCTGATGATTACAGCTGCCTTGGATGTGTACTGGAAACAAATTTCTTGTGTGTAACATACTTGGCCAAATAAAGGTGATTATCCTTGTCATGGTGACTGTGACAGTATGGCCTTGTTTTGCAGATGTGATGTCGTGTCGCTTCTGGACCCAGGGTCTGAATAAGTTCTTGATCTCCTTGGTTCTCAGGCAGTAGATGAACGGGTTGATCAGAGGATGGAATAAACTGTAGAAGAGGGTGGTGGCTATATGTTTTTCATGGTTGGGAAAGTAAGGTGTTGAGTAGACAAAAAAACGTGGTATGTAGTAAATGGATATGATACAGCCCTGGGTGACACAGGTAGAAAAGGTCTTCTTTCTGCCCTGAGGAGAACTGCAGCTTAAGGTTAAAAGGAGTTATGAATAATATAAAATATGTGTCAGTTTTAAAAAGAGGTCATTGCTGAGGCCATAATGTCTATGACCTTAAGGATTTAAGAATGGAGAGCTTGGTTTGTTTTGTGAGAATACTGTTATCTTAATCATGAAAGTATCACGAAACACACAAGAAACACACCATGATCTTACCTCTCCAGTGGCCAAGTGCAATATTGAGATGATGATACAAATGTAAGAGAAGTTGATGAAAGCTAAAGGAACGTAAAGAACAAACATTGCTGCAGCATAAGTGGTGTTGTAGTGCCAGCTTATAGTGTGTGGGGACACCAGCTGGCACTACAAGTGACAAAGTGTCACAGGAGGCTTGTATAATTTTGTTGGGCCCACAAAATGGCACCATATTAAAGCTGACAATACTAATGCCAGGGAAGATGCGTGCCACCACCCAGCAGAAAAGAGTCAGGCCTGTCATGATTTGGTTTGTCATCAGTATCGGGTATCTGAGGAGAGAGAAGGAGTTGGACAGAGAAAGACCGATGGATAGAAATGTGAGGAGGATATAAAAAAAGAGACTAATTAGCTTTTAGCCTAATTCAAGGACTTAAAAGTTGAGTCCATTCAAACTGTTTTTTTGTTTTACCTGAAAGGAGAACAGATGGCTACATATCAGTTGAGGGCCATGGTGAATAAAATCTGGGAGTTCAAGGAGCCAAAATAATGAATCATGTGCTCTTGGAAGAGGCAAGTGTGAAAGCCAAGACTCCCATCATTCCACCAGTAGCGAGCAATGAGTTTAGGTAAGGCTACTGTGGTAAAGCCTGTTGGAAATGTCAGGTTTGCTCGTCACCGCCTACCTCTCTCGCTCTCTTCTCCCTCTCTTTCTCTGCAGACACACTTCCCAGCGGAGCTCACAGCTGATAATGTGGCTGGTCATTTAGGAGCGGCTTAGATGCACTGATGTTGCCAGTTCGTTCGACCCTACTACGAAGTTTGGCCACAGAAGACGCTACGATCAACTATTAATATCTTCCCTACCACGATCCCCACTAACAAGCTCGAGCCTTCCAGCTATGCTATTTTCCATAGCGCTCTCCACTTCGGCATCATCATCATCCAGAACTTTTTCTCTGCTGGCTGCACCGGCTTAACCTCTGTTGCTACCCTGCACTGTGTGAGTCAACTCCCGATCTGCTCACTCTCCCTCTGCCTTGTGTTCTCCCAGGAACGAGTGTCTGGTCATTCTGCCTCCACCACCGGGGTTACAACCAGTGTGAGTTATTGG